GTGGAAGGTTTTTATGACACAGACATAATTGAGGCCATTGATGGAGGCAAGAACCATGGATTTCTCAGTGTCATTATTGTATTTACATCTTTGTGGATTAATTTAAGTGAGTTTTGCCACTAGGGGTGAGTCACAATAATTGTTATCAAGCTTGGACAGGAAGAAGAAAGGCTCCATTTTCCAGGATTGTGGGGATAAAGTCCTCCTAAAATTACTTTGTGGTAAAAGGCTGATTGGGTCATTTTCACAGCTCCGGGCTATGATGGGGTTTATTACAGTTCACAAGAGTTAGAGCATTTGCCCTTGAGGTGGGATTCACAATCCCAGTTACCTTAGTGATCTTAAGGAATAAGGCAGGGCAGAGGTGACACAACAAGCCAGGACACAGTGTCTGCCTGCTGGCCCCGGTACTGTTTTGTGAGCTCTAGAGCTGTGCAGGTGGATGTCCTGGGGCTGCTGCTTTAAAGGGGCAGGTGGCTATGGGGGAGGGGAGGTGCGCTGGGACCAATCCTGAGTGCCCTCGTAAGTGGACCTGTCTTATGTGACCATTTCTAGCATTACGTTGTTCATTGTTTACTCTGCAACTTGACAACTGGACTGTCCTCACCCCTCCTGTCTATATGGTATTGATGAATCTCTGGAATGAGGATGTCATAGTGGGATTGTGTGACTTAGTGTCCAACAGAGAGTTCTGGTGGAGGTACAGGGCCCTAGGCCAAGGAAACAGCCCCATCAATGGCTGCGTGGGTACCTTTGGCCATTAGCTATATTCTATTGATTTGTTTAACCTTCCAAACAGGTCTCTAGGGTGGGCATTGTTTTTTCTTTCCACCTTTTATTTTAGGTTCAGGAGGTACATGTGCAGGTTTGTTATCTGAGTCGATTGCATGTCACAGGGGTTTGGTTTACAGATTATTTTATCATCCTGTTAGTAAACATAGTACCCAATCGGTAATTTTTTGATCCTCACCCTCCTCCCACCCTCCACCCTCAAGTAGGCCCCAGTGTCTGTTGTTCTCTTCTTTGTCCATGTGTACTCAGTGTTTAGCTCCCACTTATACGTGAGAACGTGGGCTGTTTAGTTTTCTGTTCCTGCATCAATTCACCCAGGATAATGACCTCTGACTCCATCCATGTTGCTGCAAAGGATATAACCTCATTCTTTTTTATGGCTGCATAGTATTCCATGGTATATAGACATAGGGTGGGTATTATTATCCCAATTTTACAAATAAGGAAACCTCAGATCTGAGGCTTTGCCCCTTAGTAGTTGGATGCTCTTAGGAACGTAACTCATTTCCTGGTGCTGTAGAATGGAGGAGAGCAAGGATCCAGCCTGCCTTGGAGGGCTGCTGAGCGGGGGGTAGGAGATAAGGTAAGCACTGTGCCTGTACCCCAGGAAGGACTCACTGAAAGTTTCTCCTCCTCCGCCTCTTCCTCATCATTAATAATTCATCATGTTGTCATTGTCATACTTTTCATCCTGACAATTGACAGCTATTTCTACTCCAAGAACAGAATGTTGCTTAATGTGGCATCATTTTGAAAGAGTCTTCAGAGGTTAAAAAAAGAAGCGAACCATCACAGAGCATCCTCAGTGACCCATATTGCTTCAGCTAGTGTGCAAGAAATACTTATTTATTCTCCTTCTTTGTCTTCACCCTTATTTTTTTTTCAACTTTTATTTTTAAGTTGAGGGGTACATGTGCAAGTTTGTTATATAGATACACTTGAGTCATGGAGGTTTGTTGTACAGATTATTTCATTACTTAGGTATTAAGCCTAGTACATATTAGTTATTTTTTCTGATCCCCTCCCTCCTGTAAACCTTCAGTTTAGGCCCCAGTGTGTGTTCCCCTCTGTGTGTCCATGTGTTCTCATCATTTAGCTCCCACATATAAGTGAGAACATGCAGTATTTGGTTCTCTGTTAGAAAAGGATTAGTTTGCTGATTATTTTAGTTTGTGTCTAACTAAAGTAGTGTTAGTTTGCTAAGGATAATGGCCTGCAGTTCCATCAATGTCCCTGCAAAGCACATGATCTCATTCTTTTTTATGGCTGCATAGTATTTCATGGTGTATATGTACTACATTTCTTTATCCACTTTATCATTGTTGGACATTTAGGTTGGTTCCGTGTCTTTGCTATTCTGAGTAGTGCAGCACTGAACATGTACATGCATGTATCTTTATAACAGCCTGATTTATACTCCTTTGTGTATATTCCCAGTAAGGGGATTGCTGGTATTTCTGTCTTTAGGTCTTTGAGGAATCACTACACTGTCTTCCACAATAGTTGAACTAATTTACACCCCCACCAACAGTGTATAAGTATTCCTTTTCTCCACAGCCTCCGCAGCATCTGTTACTTTTTGACTTTTTAATAGCAGCCATTCTGACTGGTGTGAGATAGTATCTCATTGTTGTTTTGATTTGCCTTTCTCAAATGATCAGTGACATTGAGCTTTTTAAAATATGATTGTTGGCTGCATGTATGCCTTCTTTCGAGAAGTGTCTGTTCGTGTCCTTTGCTCAATTTTTAATGGAGTTGTTTTTCTTGTAAATTTGTTTAAGTTTCTTATAGATACTGGATAGTAGATCTTTGTCAGATGCATCGTTTGCAAAAATTTTTACCTATTCTGTAGGTTGTTGGTTTACTCTGTTGATAGTTTCTTTTGCTGTGCAGTAGCTCTCTCATTTAATTAGATCCCATTTGTATATTTTTGATTTTGTGGCAATTGCTTTTGGCATCTTCATTATGAAATATTTGTCTGTGCCTGTGTCCTGATTGTATTCCAATCTAGGTTGTATTCCAGGGTTTTTATAGTTTTTGTTTTTACATTTATGTCTTTAATACATTTTGTGTTAATTTTTGTATACAGTATAAGGAAGGGATCCAATTTTAATCTTCTGCATGTCTTTAATCCATATTGTGTTAATTTTTGTATACAGTCTAAGGAAGGGATCCAGTTTTAATCTTCTGCATATGGCTAGCCAGTTATCTCATCACCATTTATTGAATAGGGAATCCTTTCCCCACTGCTTGCTTTTGTCAGGTTTGTCAAAGATAAGATAGTTATAGGCATGCAGTCTTATTTCTGGGCTATTTGGTTCCATTAGACTATGTGTCTGTTCTCATATCAGTACCATGCTGTTTTGGTTACTATACCCTTATAGTATGGTCTGAAGTCAGGTACTGTGATGTCTCCAGTTTTGTTTGTTTTGCTTGGGAATGTCTTGGCTACTCAGTCTCTTTTTTAGTTTCATATGAATTTTAAAATAGTTTTTTCCTAGTTCTGTGAAGAATCTTGATGGTAGCTTATTAGGAATGGCATTGAATCTATATATTGCTTTGGGCAGTATGACCTTTTTAACAATATTGATTCTCCTTATCCACAAGCATGGAATGTCTTCCATTTGTTTGTCATCTCTGATTGCTTGGAGCAGTGGTTTGTAGTTCTCCTTGTTAGAGATCTTTCACCTCTCTAGTTAGCTATATTCCTAGGTACTTAACTCTTTTTGTGGAAATTGTGAATGGGAGTTCATTCATGATTTGTCTTTCAGGATTGTTGGTGTATAGGAATGCTAGTGTTTTTTTTTACACATTAGTTTTGTATCCTGAGACTTTGCCGACATGAGCTTAAGAAGCTTTTGGACTGAGACTATGGGGTTTTCTAGGTGCTTGATCATGTCATCTGTAAACAGGAATAGTTTGACTTCCTTTCTTCCTATTCAGATGCCCTTTGTTTCTTTCTCTTGTCTGCTTGCCCTGGCCAGGACTTCCAATACTGTATTGAATAGGAATTCACCCTTATTTTTTTAAATCTCTGAACTGAAGGCAAGAAGTTATCTTTGGGTTATCATAGGTGAGGGAAAGAGATTTGCTTGTGGGATTCCATGGCAAAAGAGTAAATGATTGCCTGGTATCTGGAGAACAGCCTTTGTGTTATCCGTCTGTATTAGTCTGTTCCCATGCTATTAATAAAGACATACCTGAGACTGGATAATTTATAAAGGAAAGCGGTTTAATTGACTCACAGTTCCATATGGTTGGGGAGGCCTCACAGTCATGGCAGAAGGAAAAGGAGGAGCAAAGGCACATCTTACATGACAACAGCAAGAGAGCATGTGCAAGGGAGTGCTCTTTTATAATACACCTTTATTATACCCATCTCTTATATGGCAGTACTTCAGATCTCATGAGACTTATTCACTATCCTAAGAACAGCACTAGAAAGACCTGCCCTGCCCCCATGATTCAGTTACCTCCCACCAGGTCCCTCCTACAACACATGAGAATTATGGGAACTGCAATTCAAGATGAGATTTGGGCGGGGACATGGCCAAAATATATCACCATCCATCTATCCTTCCCTCTATTCCTCTGCAAGAGTTTTGGAGCTTCTGCCACATGCTGGTCAAAGGGTGCAGCAGAAGACCATCAAGAGGCAGTCTGACTCACAGTCTACTAAACAGAAGAAGTAGAGAGATTTAGTCATGTAATTTCAATTTATTTATTTATTTATTAAAGCAAACTTCTAAGTCAGGGGCAAAGAGAAATGCAACAGGGCTGTGTTGGTTTCTGAGGTGATTACAGTGAGATAAAATACAGTTTTCCTACTTTTAATACCAAGTTCTGGCTCAGTAGGGGGAAAGCAGGAAAATAATGCTAATAAAGTCTCTCTCTGCTTTCTCAAAGAGGATTATGTGATTTTCCCTATGGGATATGTGATGCTGAAAGGTACAAATAAAAGGAAGAGTCTTTCAAGTAAGGAGCCATCAGTAGAGGCTCCTGGGAGGCTGGGAGGGCTCAGGCAGGAGGGGAATTCCCAGCATGTGGAATCCCCAGGAGCTAAACGTTTTTGAGGCTGTAACTTTCTTCATCATCTCCTGGAAGATGGAGTACCTTGTGCCAGTATCTGCCTAGTGGTGTGGGATGCCAGAAATTTTATTTCACGTTGGTTTCTAATACTCCCCTCTCTCTCTTTCTTTTTTTTATAGACCCTGCAATTGTCAATGGGGTTTATTGGTCTGAATCCCTAAACAAAGTTTTTGTAGATAACTTTGACCGTGACCCATCTCTTATATGGCAGTACTTCGGAAGTGCAAAGGGCTTTTTTAGGCAGTATCCTGGTGAGTATCCCTGCGTTGACAATTATGACTCGGATTAATGATACCTGATCATGTGATGTTTTTCTTTAGAGTTCGGGGTTAAAACTTTTCTGCCTTCTCTTAGAGGAAAATGAAAGATTAAGTCCAAATCTATTGTCAGGGTGCAGAACAGGAATGGCAAGGTGGCATCCACGTGGGCATGTGCACACATAGGACATGATCACAGAACTCTCTGCACCTGTACCTTTCTCAGTAGAATAATTCACAGAGGTGTCACCAAATGTGAAGAACTGCGGTGTGAACTGTACCTTATTTAATACTTCTGAACGAGAGTTTAGCCTTATTACTGTTACTACTGCTATTATTGCCATTATTATTATTGCAGAAAAGAGCAAGTCATACTTGGGCAGTTAAATTCTCACCAACGGGTGTAAGAAATAGAGAATGTGAACTTAGATGTGTCCACCCCAGCACTGACTCCCCTTGGAGGAAGATGTTGAAATGGCCCAAGCACTGCCGACGGCAACAACCCCTCACAGAGGGTGCCCCCGAGCAGCCCCAGTCCACCCAGCACCCCCAGCGGTGTGGATTTCAGAGGCTGTCCATCATGCCTTTGGAACAGGTGTTCCTTCTGGAGCCTTCCCAGGCCTCTGCTTTGTGATGGGATTTTAATTCTGGCTTGGTTTGAATTTTAATTAAAAAGGGAAGTTTTAATTTTGCTTACAAGTTGTGAAAACAGGACTTGGGGCTACAATTGTGCCAACATCACAGCTGTAGAAATTAACAAGCTCAACCTAAAAGAAGGGGGGAAAAACCACTCTGCATAATCTTGGAGCAATTAAGTGAAGTCTTCTATGTTTTCATTAAGTAAGACTAGGCACCTGATGTCTTCCCACTTTGAGGCACAGAGACTGCTTGCCTCTGCCTTGCGGAGCTGTTTGCCCCGCGCACAGCATCTGTCCCCTAAGAACTGCATGCCAGGTGTCTGCTTCACCAGATTATACAACGTTTCCCAAGAGCCATGTTCAGCATGGCACGCATGCTTCCTCCCAGAGCCCACAGAAATGTAAACAATAAGCATCCTATTAAAGATAACGCCATAATAAACAGTGGACGATTGAAGTTCCGGTGCCACCAGATTGTAGTCTGCCTTGATGCACTTAACAGAGAGCAAATCTGACGCAGCTATTGCTGAAATCAGAGCCTGTTGGAGAGGCTGCTCTGCTTGGGAAGCCACTGGGTGTCCAACCCTCTCACTATGTGGCATGGAGAATAGGGCAAGACAGATAAGTAGAAACCACAAATCACCTGTTATCTCTACCGGCAGGAAGTCCTTTAACTATGATCATGAGGACGTTTGGAAAATAAAGAGAATCCTCATAAAAGGCTTATGTAATAGGGGAGGTTAATTTACATACAAGGTTTTTATCTGTCAGAACAATTGGCTCAGCCATGTTTACAGTTCTTTAAGGATACTTTGGGCAGGATGTGGCCTGTAAAATGCCTGCATCATTTCTATGTTAGTAGAGACATGGGCCACAGTTCACCAAGGTGTTTCAGTGCCCTGATAAATGTTGTATGGCCACTCAACTCTGCACTTGGTTCTGAACACAGAGCATGCCTCTTGCCTCCTGGACGTATGACTCAAAGAGTGATCGTGAGCATTTTGTGAGGATGTTTTTCTTTTCAGGATGCTTCTTTCCATTGTTAGAGTGGTGTGAAGCAGTGGTAAGTGTGTGTGTTTTTAAGCAGAAGAGTCTTTCTTCAGTCTTACATAAGCGTGTCCTGAGTTCTGGCTTTGTACCAAGCACTATCTGAGGCCCTGAAGATAAAATCACGAACTAGACCGAAAAGGTCTCTGTCTTCATCCAGCTCCCTCTTGTGGGGACATGCACTGATCATGGATTTTGGTTGCAAGGGACAGAAACACAGTTTCAACTAGCTCCGGCAAGAAGTGCACTTTACCGGTTCACGTAACTTGAAGTCTAGGGAACATGTGATTTGGGCTAGAGCTGGATTTTGGTGCTCAGCAGTGAGAGACTGAAGCAATGTCATTTGGAATCTGAATCCTTTCTTTTGGCTATCATTTCTGCCTTCTTCCATTCTGACCTTGTCTCACTGGCAGGTGATCTCCTCATAATGGGGAACAGGGCTGGCAGGATTTCTCAGTGAGGATTCCAGGGGAGGAGAGAGCATCTGTCCCAGTAGCTTGGATGAAAGTACACATATTAGGCTGGTCTGAGTCTCATGCCCACCACTGATGCCTGAAGAAGTAGTGGGTAGGGTCAGCCATCCAAAACCCTGGAGACTAGTCAGGATTATTGTGGCTTTGCCTAGAGTGCATCCCCAAAAGAGGGGCATCAGTGACCACCATGGGGAGATACACAGGCAAATAGATCATCATGGCACAGTGTGTTTCATGCTACGCTGAGGAAATAGAAGAGGCTGCGTGATCCCTCGGAAGGATCACCAACTCCAACTCCTGGGGTGAGAGGAAAGAGTTCTGGGAAGGAGAACTTTGGTAAGCATTAGCCTGAAAGCCTATGTGTGATGATAATGTCCATTTCTGCATGGCTTCACGCATAGGCCTTACCAGTTCAATTTATGTCCTAAGGGCATGTGCTAACTCTCTTGTGCTGTTCAAAGGACTTTATGAGATGATGGAAATGTTCTATGTCCTATCTAATATCACTAATGTCACTGGTCACATGCGGGTACTGAGCACTTGAAGTGTGCCTAGTAAGGCTAAGGAACTGAAATTTAAATGTTATTTAGCTTTATTTAAAATTAAATAGCCACATGTGGTTAGTAGCCACCATGTTGAATAACATAATGCTGTTGTAGTCTGATACCTAGTTTCCAAGGTACCAGCCTTATCTTTCAGGGCTTGCACTGCAAAAAGTTCTCACTGAACAGAGGACTTTGTTAGGCTCTATAGTTCTTACTTTATAAAATTGGGTTCTACCCTGAAATCCTGAACCATCAGGTTTCCAATCCCTGTCTCCTCTACTAGAATATTTGCCTCTTGGAGGACAGAGTCACTTGTTTTGTCCATTACTCTGTCACCAACAGCAAGAATAACACATAGTGGGTGCTCACTATGTGTTTGTTGAATGAATTGCCCATTGGGTCAAATTCCACCAGGTCTATTGTCTTCCAATACACCAGTGGCAGCCGCCCTCTCTCTTCAGATAGAATAGCTCTATTGCCTCTCTGGGGAGCAGAATAGAGCTATTTCCTCTTTGGGGAGCTGGTCCCCAGCTGCAGTCTGGTAGAGACTTGATGATTTAGCATGGAGCTGGTGTAAATGCAGTACAGAGCCATAGCCCCTTTGTTTTCTCATTGATCCCTCTCCTCCAAGTCTTCCTAGTACCTGTGCTTTCCACCCCACTGTCTACCATGTACCAGACACCGGACATGCCCATCCGTTGGCTATTTCCTCATAATGCCTTATAACCATCTCATCTAGTGAGTAGTGTTCTCCAGACTCCCCATCACCCAGGAGGCAGAGGATCAAAGGGCTGCACAGTCATCCCTTTTCCTGGAAGCCTTGGCCAATTCATCTTTTTATAGCCCTCTGTGGGACCCATCTGCTACCTGGTTACTGGCTGAGGCCACCAGTGACTGACGTATTCTTTCTGTTCTGGCCAATCCTTAGCTTTATTCAAAATGGTATGGCTGGCTGACAGTACCTACCCATGTACATATGTAAAGAAAACTATGTCTATACATCACAGACAGGTCACTATCTACAAACACAGGACATCAGTTAGGTTCATGCATGATTATCAGAAGCCTCGGTCCCTTCCCCAACGTAGCCGTACACAGGGGAGTTTGTTCCTGTAGAAGGCTTGGTGATTGCAAGGGGAAATGACTGTCTTGTCCTCACACCATGATTTTGGTGCCATAAGAAGGTGAAAGCCACGATGAGGGAGCTGGGCAGCTAAGTAAAGAGCTCTCCGTAAGTTTGGACTCATACACGCTGTTTGCTAGTATCAAGTTCAGGTTCTGTGCACAGCATTACTTTTTGTTTCTTCCCTTCCATGCCTCCCTCACCAGGCTCAGGTTTAGCAATGGGGAGAGTGTGATTGATAACAGGGTTTTTTTCCTTGACTAGCTCAACAGGACTGCTCCAGGAACGATGATCATGGAACACCATAATTTATAATTTTCATAGCAACTATCTCGCTACATATTCATTTTTATGGTGTATAATCTCAAGAGATTGGCAGGAAAGATAGCATCTGGTTGAAAAAGGAGCTCTTTTTAGAAGAGTGCATAGACAGCTTCTCGGAAGACATTTTAAAGCCAAGTTTCACTCCAGCTTGACTCATATTAGAAGCCAGCATGTATTTTTTGACCAGATATTTTAGATTTAAAGTTATGCTGGAAGGTCTGTATTTCAACTTGAAATCATGGGCCATGTACTAAATATTTTTTGAGGAAGGAATTGGCCAGAACTTAAGGATAAATCAACATCTGTCACCTCTTGATTTTCTTTCTTTTTTTTCCACATCTTTCTGGACTTTTTGCTTTTAAATAAGGAAGGCAAATGCCATGTTCCAGTAGGACAGGCAATATCTGTTCAGGTGGTAGTTTGTGGAGTTGGTTTGAATGTCATTGGCAGTGCCGGAGATGTTGTGTGCAAATCGCTGCACTTTAAAGAGCAGAGAAGCAATGGACGAAGATGCCCTCTGCTGAAGGGGAGAGAAAAAGAGAGCGTGGAGCAGAAATAAAGCAACACGGCAAAAAGATGTTCAGATTTTTATTATGCTATGCATTGCAGTCCTTCGTGGTTCCATTACAGTCTCATACCTCATTGCCATGTGGACTCATGTTGGGAACATGCAGCTTGACCTTCAGTCTTGTATAAGGCTCTGTTCTTTTGGCCCTACTATTTTTTTTTTCCACAAGCTAAAAGAGAACAGGAAGTCACAGGTTGTCTTAAATGAAATTGATTTTCCTCCAATATTAGTTTGTAAATGCCTGTGGGAGAGGAACCATGGGATATAGGAATGTTGCACAGTGATTCAAATTCACTCAAATTTGAGCAGAGATTTTGGCATTATTTTCTGTTTCACATAGGGATTTATGCACATTCTGGAGACCTTGTCCTCTGAAAGCTGAGGAAAGTGGGCTTCCAGTTACCGATGCTGGCGATGAGGTCGGGAAAGCCCCCCTGGAGCAGGTGGAGAGGCAGCTCCCCCGCCTCGAACCCTAGCATTCCTCTTGTCTCATGTTTCCCACCCTGTCCTACCTTAGTGGGATTCCAAAAGGCATATGGCACTTACAGAAATGGTTTGGCTCGTGGGAGTGCTTCTTGATTAAGTGATAGTTCCTTGGATCTCAGAGATTTCAGATGAGCCAGCCGTTATTCCTCTGAGATTTGAAGTTACCTGAATATTTTCAGAATATCTGTGTGGACCAACAATTACATACTAAAAAGTTGTTATGTCCTAGGGGAGGCAGTGCCACCTGGGACAGGGTTTTTCCAAAGTTTGTTTCCTAAAGCATTTTCTTGTGAGATTTTTGGAGGAGGAAGAACTCCATGGTCAAATTAGCTTGGTAAATGCTACCACTAGGGTCCCTGTCATAGACATTCAAAGCACACTTGAGCAGATTAAAGGCCCTTAGCTGTTCCTTCCATTATGTAGAAAACAGTTTTGCTTTGATCTGCTTAACATGCATTAGCATCCTGTAGAACTCCTCACAAAGCACACTGTGGAAATGCCTTTGCAAGGAAGAGAATGATGGCTTGAGAATTGGGAGAGCCCATCTTAGTCCTAACTGGACATCTCAGGAAAATCTGAAGATTTTGGTACAAATGTCAGGTTTGTGCAAAATGATACCCCCCCTCACTTGCCACAGACTCATTCAGTCCTAACTTTGGGTCAAAGTATGATGTTAACTGTTACCTGCAGGGCGGCTATGCCTGGAACTGCCTTGAGAGTACGGTCTTCATCCCTGCCCAATGCATATACCTCATGTCCTGAGCACAAAGGGCCCAGACCTCACAATTCCTGCTGCCACCCAGGCTCCTTTCCTCTGGCGGGGATGTCCTCTACACACAGTCACCCCAGCATCCCTTCAGTTCCTCAAACTGGACATGTCTTCTCAGTCTCAGGACCTTTGCACGCATTGTTCTCTCTGCCTGGGGTGTTCTTCTCTAGTCTGTTACCACCCCCTGCTTTTGTTTAACAAATCTGACCCATATATAGTGGGTTCAGTAGTATCCTCCCAAAATTCATGTCCACCAGGAGCCAGAGAATGTGACCTTACTTATAGGGCCTTTGCAGATGTAGGTAGGTAAGTTGAGATGAGGTTATTCTGGTTTAGGGTGGCCCTAAATCTAATATGTTGGGTGCCCTTATATGATGAAGAGAGGATACACAGACACAGAGGGAAGGTGGCCATGGGAAGATGGAGGTGGAGATTGGAGTGACACAGCTCTCACTCAAGGAACACCAGGCAATGCTGGGAGCCACCGGAAGCTTGGAAGAGGCTAGGAAAGAGTGTCCCTTAGAGCTTTTACATGGAGCTTGGCTGTGCTGACACCTCGAGTTTGAACTTCTAGCCTCCAAAACTATGAGAGAATAATTTCTATTCAGCCACCTAGTTTGTAGTTCACTTGGTCCTTCGGACCTGTGGATTCGGCATCTATGGATTCAACCAACCATGAATAGAAAATATTCAAGAAAAAAATTACAATAAAAAATAATGCAAATAAAAGCAATACAGTATAACAACTTTTTGGGCATGCTAGGTATTATAAGAAATCTAGAGATGATTTAAAGTATATGGGGAGATGCACATAGGTTATATGCATATATTATGCCACTTTATATCAGGGACATGAGCATCCACAGACTGAGGGTGGGGGTTCTGGAACTAATCCCCCATGAGCACCAAGGGATCAAGGTACTTTGTTATGGCAGCCATAGCACAGCAACACATCATCATTTCCGCTCCCAGCTCAAAGATGTCTTCCTCATGTTAGGGATTAGGGTCGCCTTTATCTACTAACATGCATCAGGTATTTCTCCTCTATGACATCTCTGGTACCTGTGATTTCTTATCCAGTGTCTGCTTTTACTAGCTGTGCGGCTTCCTGAGGGTAGGCAGGAGCCAAGACCCTCTTTCCCTGTCACTGCTATAAGACTACTGACTGGCAGAAGGCTTGCCAGTTGAATAAAAATTTGATTAATGCACAAGATGCTCTGAGGTTGTCCCATTTGATCCTCTTTCATACTGGAATTGTATCCTTTGTTGGTTTTCCTAGCGGACTAATTTTATGTCAGCTTTTCAAAAAGCAGCAAGTAGCTGGGCATGGTGGCTCATGCCTGTGATTTTAGCACTTTGAAAGGCTGAGGCGGGCAGATCACTTGAGCCCAAAAGTTTTGAGACCAGCCTGGACAACATGATGAGACCCTGTCTCTACTAAAACTAATAATAATAATAAATAGCTGGGTGTGATGGTGGGTGCCTGTAATCCCAGCTACTTGGGAGGTGAGGCAGGAGAATCACTTGAACCTGGGAGGCAGAGTGTGCCATGAGCCAAGATTGCACCACTGCACTCCAGCCGACAGTGTGAGACTCCGTCCTGCGGGGTGGTGGGGAAAAAAGCACCAAGCTTCAGAATGCCTAGAATGAGAAACAAACCTATATGCAAGGAAATGATTTCAGCCTAAAAGGAAATCATTGAGTGTAATCAGTTGGTCCCCACCCAGGCCCTGACCTAAATGTTGGGACAGTAAAAGATAATAACATATTTTCTGCTCCCTGTGGAGCATGCAGTGATGGGGCTGTAATTGGGAAGGATGCCAGAGCCAGAAAACGTTGGTGGATGATCACCAGTATATGCAGGGATGGCCATGATCTAAGATCACTCACCACAGTTTGCTTCAAGAAACATCCACTGAACACCTCCCATGGGTCAACACATTTAAAAAACAAAAGATAAAAAATCCTCTTTATATCACAATCAAACTGCTTATTTGTGGAATTATAAATTAGAGCATTGCCTAACGTCACCAGGGATGTAACTGCACTGTTTATCAAAACTGTGCCATCCTAATGGTACCTGATTTATGCAAAGCAGTGTGTCAGATTTTTTAAAATTAATTGTATTCTTGTCCCTTAGTGTATAATACATGTTAGTTATATTTTATCTTTATTACCTAATGACCTCCAATTTGGCAGTATCTTCTTACACTTCTGTTTTCTGATTTCTTGTGGGGAGTGTTTTTGAATTAGACACATGTGCAGTGGGAAATATAGGTACAAGAAGGACAGAACCCAATGTCTCTTTGAATTACAGGCTACTGTCTCAAGGTTATCTGTGTGATAATCTGGGGTTGTTATCTTCAGCAGATGCCTGTGATTAGCCCAGTGTGGTCCCTTACAAAGCTGGCCATTGTTAATCGGAAAGAAGAATCTCAATGCCACCAGCTGAGTCAGGATTCTCTCCTGTGAAAATTATTTTTCTGTTTTATTTTCTTAGCTCCAAAGTCTCTGTTGCAAATCCGCCATCCCTGAGCAGGACTGATGGTTGAAAACAGTGATTTTCTGTCTTATTTTTAAGCAGCCAATGCCTTTCTTTTCAAATGATATTTTATTGTTAAAAACTAAGTTGGATATATCCTGACTAGGCTGCAAACCACAAGACCGAGGATGTTGGATCTGATTTTACACATGGGGATAACTCCCCAGGCTTCAGGAGCTGAAACTCAAACTTTATTATGCAGCATAATGAGAGCCATTTTATTTCATTTCAATGTGGAAAGCGAGGCCAAAATTTCTGATTTTAAAAACAGGAGTGAGGAGGGAACAAACCTGTGTATATCCTTAGTTGGAAATGTTGTATCTATGTTTTCAACTCTCCCGCTACAGACATTACATCACCTGGTCCAGGGATGGGGCCAGACTCTGCCCAGAGATCTATGGATGATCCCACAGCTTGCTGGACAGTAAAAATAACCTTGGCTACCTTTATCCTTAGCCAAGGGAAGGAGCTAGAATCACATGCTCTCTTGATGGACAGCACAGTCCTAAAAACGTCTCCACTCTCTGCAGGTCTTTGGAGCAGCTGAGCTAGGCCTGTGTTTGCTAATCAGGTTATGACCCAAGAGCTCCTGCCTGAATTTGGCGATGGAGCATGTGATGAGCTCTGGGGTTGGTCTTTCCATGTGATTTTTCACGCTGTCCATTCAATCAGCAACATAAAGCAGCCTTGAAATGCTATGAATAAATATTTGAAGTTTCTGGGTTTCTCATAACCCCATTTTTCTTCTAGGGATTAAATGGGAACCAGATGAGAATGGAGTCATTGCCTTTGACTGCAGGAACCGAAAATGGTAGGCAGTGGTCAGACCTCTTCGTTATTTCTCAAAGAGATATCTCTAAGAGAAGTCAGGATTCATTTTTACTTAATTTTTCCCTTGACCTAGGTACATCCAGGCAGCAACTTCTCCGAAAGACGTGGTCATTTTAGTTGATGTCAGTGGCAGCATGAAAGGACTCCGTCTGACTATCGCAAAGCAAACGGTCTCATCCATTTTGGATACACTGGGGGATGATGACTTCTTCAACATAATTGCTGTGAGTGTAGCTGTTTTGTGCCTTCTTTGCACTTTGGGTTCATTTGATCTTTTGGTAGTGACTGCTTAACATTGCTATTGCTGTTAGATCCAGAGCATCTAGATGCCAGAACGTGAGAGCTGGTTAGTTTCATGACAGTTCATACAGTCGTGGACAGTGGAAGGGCTTTTGAGAAATGCTATTGAACATTGCCTATCTTAACCTACCACGCAGTCACATCATCTGAGAGAATGGCACACCAGATGTGGTGTTCCTGGAGAGCCGACATTTTCAGATTCTTAGAAAGTAGACTTAGCGAGATTTTCACCAAGCCACTAGAATTTCTCACCTGGAAATTAACTTCCAGCTAGGTTAGCCTGATGATAATGATGATGATAATAATTAACAATAATAGTGATGATGATGGCAACGAAGCAGCTAAAATATGGAGAGCAGTTTATGGCTCACCGAACATTTTATTTCAGCTTCTGGGAAAAATGCCTGCTTTTAATAAATGCCTTACTCTTCATATTTTTATTATATTTGCTTTTTACAGCAATTTTAGGAGGTAGGGGGTGGTTTAGATGTATTCTCAAATGGAGGTGCTGAAATTGAAAGAGTGTCAGTAACTTGTCCAGGTCACAAGGCTGGCAAGTTGGAGATTTGGGAACCAAGCCCGAGGCTGGGCAGTCACGTAGCTTTGGAGATTTGGGAACCAAGCCCAAGGCCGGGCACTCATGTAGCCTGGAAATGGCCACTCAGTCAGGTCTCTATCTTGTCAATGAAAAGAGTCAAACTCTGCAAAATATTTGAAGAGATTTATTCTGAGCCAAATATGAGTGACCACACAGCTCTCAGGAGGTCCTGAGAACATGTACCCAAGGTGGTTGGGGTACGGCTTTTTTTTATACATTTTAGGGAGGCATGAGACTTCTGTCAAATACATTTAAGAAATACATTGGTTTGATCCAGAAAGGCAGGACAACTCAAAGCAGGAGCTCCCAGCTTATAGGAAGATTTAAAAATTTTCTAGTTGACAATTGATTTTCTCTGAAGACCTGGGGTGAATAGAAAGGAATGTCTGGGTTAAGATAAAGGATGGTGGAGGCCCAAGTTCTTATTTGCAGAGGAAGCCTTCAAGTCCTAGGCTTCAGAGAGAATAGTTTGTAAAATGTTTTTTTTTTTTTTTTATCAGACTTAAAGTCTGTGTTGATGTTGATGCCAGAGAGGTATAGTGAGGCTTGTTCCACCCCCATTCCCAGCATGGCCTGAAGCAATCTCTCAGGTTAAATTTTAAAAGAGCCCCGGCTGAGGAGGAAGTGGATTCAGATGGTGGGGGGCCTTAGAATTTTATTTTTGGTTTACAATCTCCAGTTCTTTTTCTTCTTCCCACTCATTATTTGGATGATTCTCATCATGCCCCTTATGTTCCTCACACTCTTTTTCCAAAGGCTTGTCTCAGTGAGCCTGATTTCTTTGAGTCCTTGAGCACTTAACCAAGTGCGTGTGTGTGTGGTGGACACTTGTTCTTTTGCATGAAAATAATGCATATCACATCTATTTGGGACTTGGAGTGGTTGCTATGGGCAGTGGAAGCAGCATGGTGACAGGGGCAGAGCCTGGGTTTTGGAGTTGGGCTGTTTTGAATCCTCTTCTGCCACATATGCTGTGTGTCTTGGGGCTGATTACTTTAGTCTGGGCATCAGCCCCCACACCTGTGAAGTGGGTTACTCACTTTGCCCACAGGGTTCTGCTGGGATCATCTGCGTTGATCACCAGAGTCAAGCTGGTGCCCAGCTGGGCTCCTTAGCCAGTGGTGGGACACAAAAGAAGAGGGTGCTCCAAGAATGCTGTTGCTGTGGTCTGCTTGGCTCCCCTAGACCCCCGAGCAGAGTATGTTGTCATGGAGCCTTATGACCAGGCTGCCTTCTGCATGGGCATGACACCCACTTGTGTTTTCCAGGCAGAGGGTCTGGGCATCTAAGTGACATGAAGATGGCCAAGGGGATTGCCTGAACTAGTGTCCTGCCTACAGGCCTCTTCTGATCAGACTGTCAGAACAAAAGGGCACAACCACAGGGCAACATGACTTGTACCTTCTGATTTTAAGAACTCCTAAAGAGGAAAGAGAAAAGAAAGAGAATACTAAATTCCCTGAGAGCAGAGGTTAGTCTTGTTCATTCATGGATGTGTCCTCAGCGCCTAGGCAGTGCTTGGCAAATAGCAGTTTAAATGTTTGTTGAATGAATAATAACCACAACTGCCTTCTGTGCTCACTATGTGCAAGTCAGTTGCTAAGTGTCCCGTGCGGATTATCTCATGGAATCCTCACCCCAGTTGTGTGCCATATGGCATGAAGGCAGAGGTGTGAAGTCGCAGAAGTGACCGTCTCGAGTTACAAGGCCAGAAAAAGTAGCACAGTAAAGGTTCAGACATTGGCTTCACCTCACACTGTTTCCTGAGCAGAAGTGGAGGATGTAGTTATCCACTCAGCCATCATATCATGGGATTATATGGCCTCGAGGCATAGTTCTTTAGAAGGAGACTTTGAGATAGTTAAAACTTTGGGTTTTCTAATCAAGAAAGTTACTCTAGTTGCCAGTCTAGTGGTGAGAATGCAAATGTGGCTTGATCCCCACACATCCTGAAGCATTTACAGATAAGAAACAGCTAATTTGAGACTATCTTTCTTATTAATCTTTAATTACTCATTACAGAAGTATCAGAAATTCACATAATAAGAAGAGCTAACTAATTACATCCTGAATCCTTTATCAGTCAGGATTTATTGTTCTGTTAACAAAACCAATCGATTGAAATAATCTATGTAAGTTCATTAAGATATACAAACAGTGTCAACTCAGTAAAGGAGAGAGGGTGATTAAGATAATTAAAAGTAGACATGCCAGTTATTATAGAACAGTTAAGAAAAAGAAATTTTTTAATCCAAATATCCCTTTATATAAAGAAACCCATTAAAGATCCCATTAACCCTCACTGTACATCTGTTTGTTAGTTTTCAACATAAATTATCAGTTTCAACACTGTTTACATAATTATTTCAACAACTAAAAAGACACTCTGAACTTCTTTATTTGAAGCCTTTATAGTAAAATCGTGAACTTTGTTTCTCTAATGGGTAAGAGAATGGATCAGATATGTTAGTGAATTTATATTAGAAGGCCAAGGTCATAAAAGAACCATTAATTAACAGTAATGTTTATAGGTTGATTGCTTTTTAATGTAGGCAACATATGTCAATATTTTAAACAATTCAGTAATGTTCTCATTTCTCTTTCATTTGGCACATATTCTAAATGTTTCTGTGTATATGAACACACAGTCTTCACAAAAATAGATACATATTTTATAGAATATTCTGCAACTCTTATTGCAATCAAGTGTATTTGAATAATAGAGCATTCCATCACATTTTTTACTCAGAAGTGCTACAGTGAGTACAGTGCGTGCAATGCACTGAATGTAATGCATATATTTCTGCAAGATTGGGTGTGCTTCTATTGAAATAAACCCAGAAGTGAACTTGCTGCACCAAAGGGGATGCACACAGGCACCTACCAGAACGTCTATCAAGCAGGGTATAATGTTTACACGCTTACCAACAGTTTAAGGGTTCTAAATAATAGGAGATTCATAGCTGGCAAATTTTCATTTGCATTCCCTTGAATTGTCTCTCCCAATCCTAAGTGTCTTCTGCGAATTTTGCCTTGTTGAATTCCTGTTTTTTTCGTCCATCACCTCCTCCTGTTTCCGCCCTGACATAAGTGCTCTAGTAGTATGGTGTAGGTTTTCCTTCAGTCCGTTTAAAATGGTCACTTGTCTCCTGACTAGAGGGTGACCCAGCTGCAGGTTCTTAAAGTGCAGGGGAGTGGGATATTTGAAACGCCATCCAGAACGCCCTGCAAATCTGTGTGAGTGCATTGTTACCGTCGGCTGGATTCCATTTATGAAAGAGGACATTATCATTTCACCTCCATTACACTGTCAGCCTTCCTTTGCTTGCTGGGTAGATGTTTGCAGCGATAGTTCAGTGTTTTAGAGGAAAAGTAGAGAGTACAGTATTTTCAGTGTTGGAAGCCCTCGTGTACTGTAGGTTTTTGTTTATGCAAATCTAATTCATCATTGCCACTTGATTTTCAGTGCCATCCTGGAGAACGGAGGAAAGAGACTTAAATAGTGGGAAAGACTTCCCTTGGCCATTTAAGGTCATCTTTCAGTTTTGCATGTTTTATTAAGTTCATTGTGAACTTCATCTTTGATGTTATACTGAAAAGTTTCTGATCTTGATCATCCAGAGTATAAACATAAAGAGACAATGTTAAAAATTGTTTTAGCTTTTATGGCCAAGGTATTGCAAGATCTATCTAAAATGGACAAACTTATTGAATTATGAAAGAAGAGTTGAAATATGAGAGTAATTTTGTGCAGTCGAAGTTAAAATTTTAAGGTCAAACCACTGGTGCATGAAGAGAGATGTCTCTGACGAGAGAAAAGGCATATTTCTCTGATTCACTTTGAAGTCTAACTTCAAGCCATGCATTAAATTAACAATATTATCATAAAAATGAGGGTGCTAATTCTGTCCGATGCTGAAATTTGAAAAATGACTTTACGGAAGCCTAAGCCATGAACACAGTATTAACTGGGCTGATATTGTTAAATCAATTTAAATGCTTCCTGCAGCCCATGTTTGTGCAGACTTGAATTGAGAAGAGCATCATTTGTTAGTTCAACCAAGAACTTTCTGATGCCCTGGTTTTAATTTGCAGATTTTCTTTAGAACAGTTTCTCCAATGCTTTGCCTGCTGTGGATTTGCTTTTTAAGGTAATCGATTCCGTATTAAGAGTATGAGGATAGTATTTTCTTTCAGTGCTCATTTGTTCTTTACTACTAATTGTGTCCAGTTGTGTTTCAAATTACATAAGATGCTTTTGTAATGCAGAAGATCCCTGCGATGGCTTGTGTTGGTGAAAATATTGTGGGTTCGTCTGCTTTATTA